GAGAACAAGCCCTGAATAAATCAGGATCTCACAACTGGATATCACGACATGCCCGCTTAAGACTTCGGTTTTCGTTAAAAGCCAAGTGGCTATGAAATGTTATGTTTGAAACATCTCCCAAAATGTGGTTAGTGGTTGCATAGATCCATATGTCTGAAGTCCACCAAAGGGTCCAACCAATTCAATTCAGTTCAAACTCATACCCAACGGGAAATAGGGGGATGGTTGGAAAGGCATTGCAACGGTGTCCACTTCCGGGTTTAAACCCCGAAGTCTTCCGCTGGAAGCTGAGGCTTGCTCAAAGGATGTGCCGCAGCCCTGGCATATATGCATGTGGGTGCACATGTGTGCGTCGGCGGCACCCTGAAAATGGTTATTCAGGTTCCAAAAACCACAAAGGGGTACCGAGCCCTGATAAAAAGGACCGCACTCGCATGACTGTCTGCTGAAGCGAAAGTGAGCTGCCTTTTCTGCAGTCTCTTTTTGGTAATGTGCACATCACTTGTGGGTCACGAATCACGACCCCACCAAGTATTTTGGAGACTGCAGGCAGTGGGTTTTGCTTGATTCACAGAACCTCGTGAGGCAAGATGCAAGAATCGTTTTGCCGCGAAGAGAGAAGCTCGCAGCTCATACGCGGCTTTGTGTTGAAAGGCCGCGGCTGCATCTCCGATCACTAGATAGCCCACTAGATCCATTGATAGCCACTCAGATCTCGCTCGAAAAGTGTTGCGATCTCCTGGTGCCCATGGGTCTTAGGAAAGCATCCGGTGGAGTCACTTAGGCTACACTTGACCCTTGAAACAAGTGACTGTCAACCAAACCCTGGAAGAGTTATTTTTGACAGGGCCTAGCTTTAATCACACAGGAATGCATCACATTTGTGCGCCGCTGATGTTTGAAGGCTGTCATCTGCTTGGAGCCCCTGGAGCTTGATTGCTTTGGACACCGGCCCCAAAGCACAAGGCTGCTCCCCAGGGCTCCAGGAGGCTGAGAACCCGTCTGGAAGAATAAGGGATTTCGTTGGTGCTCCGTTCTGAATTCCTCGCCTGAGCATTTCCATATAATTGCCCCAAGCAAGCCTGAAATGCAAGCTGCTAGGAGACACTGTAGGAGATGCTAAGAGATGCTAGTAGACGCTAGGAGATGCTAGGAGATGCTAGGAGATGCTAGGAGATGCTAGGAGATGCTAGGAGATGCTAGGAGGGAGAGCCTGGCTGAACCAGTGGGGCTATCAACACAATCCCAACTGGCGCAGCCAAGTAGCCTTTTGTTCAGCTCAGTGAATGGTTCCCCTTTCATTCAGATTGGGTTCCTTGTCAACATCCGCCAGTAAAAGCGGGACGTGCTGTGTTTTTTTTAAATGGCCAATTGGACAAGTATGGTTTGGTTGGCAGACTAGAACAAGCCACATGTGCCAGGAACGATTCAAATTCCAGCCAACATTCCTTGCCTGCTCGCCCCCACAGGCGGTTTCTGTTGACGTACAAGGACTTGGTGAGAAGGCTGATTCCAGTCATCCCATTTGAATACTTCCAACGTGGAAGCGAACTGGGTCAGTTCTGAGGTTTGCGACGCAGACGAGGACCTCGGTCTGCAGAAGCCAGAGCCCACGGGAAGTCGTGGGTCACAGGATGTCACAGGCGAAGCAACGGCCCGATCAAAACCCTGACCGACAGTAAGGGGGAAAGTAAGGGGGGGGAGGAAGTTTGCAGGTAACGAGCCAAAGAACTTAGCAGGGGCTGCTGGAATAGGAATAATCTGTGATCCACCACTGCGAGGCCTTTTCAACGACTTGAGGTTCCATGCAGCAGCGGGAGCCAAGTAACCCGATTCCTGCCTCCTTTCTTTGTTTTCCCGGTTGCATCTAAGATAAACTTAATGTTTCAATACATCAAAAGGCAAAAGCGGCATCTTGTGGATTGCCGAGAACAGCGGATCCTATCCCCGACCGCCCATGGCTCAGGTCGGTGGTGCCGCATCCGTTGGCCAGCTCTGACTTTGAGGAGACGGCCCCTTGGGGCGGGCCTAATGGCTGAGGGGCCTGCTTTCCCAGGTAGCAGCAGTGGTTCTTCTTTCCTTGCCACCGTGCGTTACCTCCACCAATCAACAGACCAGAAGTCAATTTTCCATTGCCACTGGGCCAAGCAAGCAAGGGAGCACCGCAAATCTTCTATTTTGCCGTCTGTGTGTTTCCAACAAAACGAGTCCTGTGTTCTTATGGCTAACGACACACATGCAGAAGCCTTTGGGCTGGGCTGGGCGGCTGAAAAAGCAACATTGTGGGTTGTGTCGTTTTCGTAGCAACCCCAGGATACCTTGTTGCTTTCTGGGAACCTCCTTTGATTTCAAAGGACAGTGTTGTGGAACTTGAGGAGCGCCACACTTATTCTGGTGGTATTTTGCCAACCCATCCTTGTCATCTTTGATTCTCGTGTCAAATTGGGGAGTCAGCCATGTTTGGAGCTGTCCGCACTCTTACACAGCATGTTTGGCAGGCTTTGACCCGAGAGAGGGCAGAGTGCGTTGGCTTGTGCTCTTTAATTTGTTTTCGGAGGCTTTAGCGGCGTTATGCAGCGGCATTCCCTCTTTCCTGTGGTTCCCCGCAAGACATGAAATCTCAACCCCAAAACCTGGTTCCGATCTTCTACGGTCAGTGGCAACTGCTCTCAGCTGACAAAATTGGGGTCGAGGGTCAGTTGGGCCACCTGTGGTACACATGTTACACACCTAGTCTTTGAACACTCTTTTGTTTCTGCCTGAAAGGTGGCCATTGGGATATTTTGTCAAACGCGCTTCCCATTTGGGTCAGGTTTGTCTCAACATATGGAATCCTCAGTTGGGTGGGTTTCCCTTCGTTTAAAACTACCCCAAAAAGGGGCTCCCCGAAACAACGGCACGCCATGTTTTGCAAAAAAGCCTAGCTGAGCGCAGGACGAGCTGGAGATCCGGGTGCCGAGGCAACGTGCCAAGGTCCAGAAGGTCCAGACGTGCCCTCCCCCCCAAGCAGCAGCCGGCACGATGAGTTCCGAGCTTTCCCCACGGTCTATGGGCCCACAAAATGGGTTCCATGTTGGGTTTCCCCTTAGCCAATCCAACACCCATAATGAGCAAAACTTCCTGGTCTCAGGTGAATCTGGTGTCCGGGACATCGGAGACTCACGAAAAAAACAGGGGTAGCAGAATCCCAGCTGGACCCGGCATCAAAGGATCTGCAACCCCGCACAGAATCGGCATCTAGTCTCCTGGAAAGAACCTCTTGAAACGGCGGCTACTTTGGGGGCCCATGTTAGGGGTCTAGAAGTCGGAACGATTTCAGTGACATAGCCACATAGCCACTGGTGAATAGGTCCGGAACACGTTGTGGCCAGTTTCGGCATAGGGTGCTGGCCTTGTGGGTGCAGTGACTTTGTGCTCGCCGACGGGTAAACGAGCTCCGGCCCACGATGACGGTCCGTACTTAAAGCTTGTGAATTGTGGACAATTGCCAGCGGATGGGTCCTTTTACAGGTGGCTAAACGTGGAGCAAACAATTGCAGACATTAATTGTTGACTGCGTACTGCTCGGGAGGTCCTATCATGCTTAAGGCGCAATGATTGGTCGCCTAATGTAGCAACTGTGCATCCCTCATCGGAAACCCTTTCCCAGCCGTTTCCGCGAGGTACTCCTCGTCACCAGACCAGCCCTTGCTGGGGGTCCCCATCCGCGAGGGCACCCTGTGGCACCTCTCCGCACAGGACGCGGTGCTTCCTGTCAAAACTCCTCACACTCCCCGCACCTTAGCGATTGGAGTGTGCCTGGACGATAAATTTCCTCTTGCAGGGATCCCCTGTCACGCTCCATGTTTGTGGGGGAGGGCATGTCATGTAGGCCATGGTTCCTTTGCTCGATAACCGTGCCGAGTCTCCCAAGCAGGTTGTTTGCCGATGCTGAGTTGTTGATGACCCCTCCCCCCCCTGCACCAACCTCAACTAAAGTTGTGTCTTGACTGGTCCGTTTGGAGAGCTCGCGTGCGGAACCAGGCTCTTGCGGGTTAGTCTATGTGTTTCTTTGCTTGGTTGGTAGGTTTGTCAGTTTGCTGTTTTTTTTGTTTTTGCCCCTTCATGTCGTTCTTCATTTTGGTTGTCGTTGTTTGTCTTTCTTTGCGGAACTCAAGCCCTCAATTAAGTCGGGTCAACACGCCGTGCAGTTGCCGATCGTTTCCAAGGGCACAACACAAGGGACGCTGGACAGTTTCCAAACGAGATTGCTTGGCCCCAAAGGATTATCACTCACCACTATGTATGCCTGGGTTCTTTGTGCAAGGATCACAGGTGCGTTTGTCCACTGCGTGGTCTTTGCATCTTTGACCTTTGGGATGGCCGGGATGTTTGCCGGCGGCCAGGTCTGTTTACGTTTGGTGTTCTTAGCCCAGTCAACATGCGTTTGCCTATCCTTGCTGAAGAGGCCAACTATGTTTCTCTTTGAGGGACCATTTGCTGACTTGTTTGTTGCAGATGTCTGCCGGCTCTGGCTCCCAGCTTCTTCACAGTCGGACAACCACAAGCCCTTCAGCTCTCACGATGCTCTCGCTAAGCATGAGTAGAATCTGAGTTGATCCGGTTGTTCAGTCTTTAGCCGCGCCAAGCGTATCCCAACATGTTGTTGGCAAGACGTGAAAAGGCATCGAAACAGCCTATAGAACATGGCCACAGCAAACAGATGCTTGAGCACGGGCATGAGCAGCCAGCTGCATACCCATCTAGGCTTAATCTCTTGGCTTTCGCATCAGACCTGTCCAGACCATATCAGAAGCGCACACATGTCCTACTGCGTTCCACGCATGCGCATAGTGCCGTTTGTTGAGATGGGAGTGGGATTCACGTGTCCACATTCCTTCGAGCAAGAGGTGGCTGGTCTTTGGTGAATCTTTGCCTCGAGCTAATGGAAACTATGCGAACTCAGAAGTGAGACTCGGAGGCCTTTAGAAACCATTCTCCAGCAAGTACCGAGCCATCTGATGGCATTTGCGCGGGCCCCAGTTGATCGGATTGAGCCAGAGGTCGCAAAGCAAACCGTTATGAGGTTGCCCAGAAAAATAGGACTAATAGGTCCCGCGAAAGTGTTATACTGTGAGGGTAACACGTTCATGAGGCCTGCGGAGGCTCCGCTTTTCTAGTGAAATTGGTGCAGCATCTGACTCTTGGCGGTTTCTCAAATGGAACCATGCAGGGTGATTGGAGTTCTTTGAGTTTTCCTTCAAACCCATCTAAAGGTGGTTGAGCCCATGAATGCCAGGTTTTGGGCAAGGGAATTCTACTGTCCTTACGTATGTTTTCCCAACAGCAACAGCCTTGTTGCGACCATGGCCAATTCCCGTCTTTCCGCAAGTCAAAGATAGACCCAAACGGCAACAGGATCGTTTTGGAGAAATGTCCGTTTTCAGAGGGTCAATGTGGGCACTGCCCCTGAGGTGCCCTAAAAGCAGCTTCAATTTGTCGCTTTGGTACCCTTTCAGGGACACGACTCCGCCAGAGGCACTGCGATCAGCTCCGGCCGCGAAGGATAGCCATGAACTGAAGGCTCGACGGCCTGAAATCACGGCTTTGCCCAAAACCTGGCTGACTTGTGGACCCTTAGGGTGTTCAATTACCCCAATATACCCCACCTCTTGATTTGCCCAAGCCGACGCAGGATCCATATTTGTGAACTTGCTGCATGCTTCCCTTTACCTTACCGGTTGCAAATTTTAATGAGAATTTGAGCAAACCTGCGGTTTAAACATCTGACCCACATGCACCAATAGAACCGATCCGCCACAGTGCTCGGCTTTTCAATTCAGGTGGGAAAGTAGGTCCCATTTGGCAGCCCCATTCAATATTGAAGCATTGGAGTGGATGCGCACCGGGAGCACTGTCGTTTGTTTTGCTGGGTGATTTCTCCCCATCCTTTATTCGGGCCTTCAAACAGGCTGTCCCATCGTCCCTAGCCACTAGATTTGCAGTCCTGAGGTTTAGCTTTGCGTAGTGCCTTGCAAGAAGCGAGCCGGAAGCGGCTGTTTTGTCCTTGACACACAGATTGAAGTGCGGCTTGATTGTTCGATGCTCAAACGCGAAGCAAGGAATAGTTTGCTCATGAATCATTTGCACGGATCATGAATCTGCTGTTGTGTTTCTATTGGTGTGTCTATTTGGGAATGACTCTGTCAGCGCTTGAGTTTTGGCCGTGTTGCCACGGTAGCGGAGCCATGCGGAGCCCTTGGTGGTAGCACACTCACTGAGAGATGACACCATTCCGGATGGCAGCGGTTTCTTGTCAGACCAATACCGGCCGGCTTAAACCCCAGTTTTGTCACAGTGTGCTGCATGTTTGCAGCAGCGACTGACAAGCAGAGACTGTCAAGCAGCTCCATCTTTTTGTGCTTTCAACGGAAACAGTGAGAGATGCCAACGGCTTGGGGCTTACAGGTACCGGCCCGAATTATTAAGACCCATCCCCATGTTCAGAGAAACAAGGAGGCAGGGACTGGGCTTGCAGATAGGTATCAGCACGGCTAACATTCCTATTGTCAGATCTTCAATTGCCAGGCGGTGCTGTCCGCCCAAGACGCGGAGATCCACGCGCTCAAGGCGTGTTGACCGAGCCGCTGGTCCGATGGGAGGTCCACTCAAGTTGCTTTTGTTTGGTGGTCAAAGAAATACCCAGTTATTCAGTGTTCTTTTGTATGTTTTCTTTGTTGAGTTCTTGCTAAGAATGGGCAACCCCAAGGCCAAGGTCACTGGGCAACTGTGGAGCAGCGGGGTTTACCTTCTTAGTTTCCCGTTTGGGAAACTCAAGGGACCGGGCCCCAAAAACTCCGAAACGCGGAGGAGTGGTACGAAATAGCACAAATGAGCAGTTCCACCGGAATGGCGCCTGAAGGGAAGCGAAAAAATGCCCCCACCCTTAATAAATGAAATCTAGGGGGTACCCCCCGTCAGAAATGTCATTTACCAATTTCATTTATCATTTTGTGTCACAGGGAAAAAACATGTAACTACCCACATCCAGTCAAAGAAGTATGCGTGTTTCTATGTGTTTCTAAATCAACCAGATTTACAATTTTGGGTGTGTCTTTGAAGGGACATCAAAAGGAAACCACCCCTTGTTAGGGAGGCCCGGCGTCTCTGCTTCCGCTTGAAACAACACAAAACAGCAGCCAAGAGGGTAGTGCAAGGGTTCTAGGAGACACCTGAGTTGGTTGCTGGGGTGAAGCATTCTCAAAAAGGGCACCCTTTCGAGGGACTATGAGGGACTGCATTTGGCTCATCGGTCCCGCAGCCCCCGCCTGCAAGCCTGCCTTGTGCATGGCCCGGCACCCAGCAGAGATCAGTGGTGATGTGTGAGCACAAGGGGCATGAACATTCTTTCGGCATCTTTCGCAATTGGATCGCAGGCCTTGGACGCGTATGCGCTGTGGAGCTCACGCCCCGGAGTTTGACTTGGAGGCCACAGCGCGACAACCAGATCTACGTGGCCCTGCAATTGCCACAGTGGCTGCATGCCCTGCCTGTGCACTGCGGGCACATCAGTCTGGGGACGATTGTATTTGCAGATCCGGCGCACAAAGTCCGGGCGTGGAAGCTGGCGACCACGGTTTTTGGCCACAGGACAGCGCGCTTCAAGGTGGACAAGTACGGCCAGGCGCAGGAGTCCTGTCTGCAACTTCTGCGCAGCGCACTGGCACAACCCGAGACTGTCGTGCATGATTTGCACATAACGTGGACCGCGAATAAGATGGAGGAGTGAAAAAGAACGCTGGCACTTTGAGCACGGGATGTTTTTGTGCACTTCCATGGTTGGTATGCCTGTGAGGGGGACCCCCATTTCGACTGTTTCTCCTTTCGGCTTCCCTTCAAAACCACCCCAGAAAAGGGCGCCCTCAAAAAGACACAAACCCAAAAAACAGCTTGCAACAAGCTGCCTTTTCGCACACCCGCGACCCGTCCCGCCTGCCAAATCGAAGCATCCCCGCCAGTACAAACACATCTCTTGGTTGCCGCTTTGAGATGAGTTTCCTCTTTGGCCTCCTTTTCATTAGCACGTTGTCCCCAATCCTCCGACTGCAGTGTTGGCGTGCAGGCTGTTGGTGTGCTAGGAAAAAGCAGACCTTCAAGCTTTCTGCGGTCAGCGCGGCCCACCCAAGCCAGGACAATCTGCACCACAGAGCAGTCCCGGCGCCAAGGGGCCTGAGAAGCCAGAATGTGCGATGATGAAGGGGAAACACTACATAGATATATGTGCAGAATATTGCAACAAATCAACATTTTTCCTGAGACGGCCCTTAAAAACACGAAAACAGGCAGCTACAGCAGGCGTGGAGCTGGCTGAGATAGCTGACGGTAAAGCTTCTTGGTCTTCAGGCCAGCAAGCTCCTGGAAGAGACCCGGCTCCCACGGGTGAATTTCGTTTGCGAGGGGCAGGATGAACATTGTCCGCACGCTGCGTGAAATCCTGGCAGAGCGCCTTGCACACCGTTGGCAAGGGCTCGGCCCCTTGACCGGATTCCAGATCCAAAACTGCAACCTCAGATCGCTTCGAGTTTGCTTCATGATTCCCGAATTTTCCCGAAACATCCCGAAACAAACAAACTCTGGCACCTTGAGGCAATCAATGGCAATCAAACACACACACACACACACAGACACACTCACTCACACGTATAAGCACACGCGCATGCAATCAGTAGCAGAATGTAGCAGAGCACGCCGTCATGCGCTGTAGCCGAAGCCGCGATTCTTTCCCTCCAGCCACTTCATCAAGTCTCTGGGAGTGTCCTCCATGCTCCGCGTGCTGCCGTCTGTGAAGAAGAAGCGCCGAGCCACCTGCGAGCGACACCGTGCCCCATGCACGCACAAGCAACAAAAGGCACAGCGCACGACTGCGCACCGCCTCCTGCTCAAACGCAGTGCTCTTGCGCTCCATGCAATCTTCCGACAGCTTTAGCGCCGTTTCCAGGCGTTGCTCACCAATTGCCTTGTCGGTGTTCCACTTCTCAGCGGCCACTGCGCGGAAGACAGCTGCCTGCAACTTCATTGACTTCACAAGTCTTCTGGTCTTGGGATGTTTAGGCTGATTCAGGGTGGTCGGTGTTTGTTTTGTCTGTCCCTGTTGAGCGTGTCTGTGTGGTGCTGTGATGTATTGTGTGAGATTCTATCATATTCTATCGTTTGATATCGTTTGATCTCCCATCATCTGTGTCCTTCAACATCTATCAGCCCAGGTCTGTCCAGCACGATTAAGATCAATTAATCCAGGTTCATCCAGTGAAGTCCCTAAATGCATGGACCCGGATCTGCGAGGCAAGGCCAGACAAGGATGAGCCTTGCCTCGTCTGCACCGTTGTCAGCCTTGCTTGCTGCAGAGGAAACAGCTGCCAGGGTCTGCTGAAGGTGCTCCTGGGCAGCTTGCCTCTCGGCCACCTCTGCCCTCTCCTTGCGCTCACGAAGCAGCGCCCGCACCGGTGACCAGGTGGCAGGCGACGCCCCTGCCTGGCGCAAAGCACCGTCGACACTTCGTTCTGCAAACGCAGCGCGTCGCATCCCATCCCCATCGGCGAGAGCATGCGTAGCAAACTGAGCTGCATAGTCTCGCCACTGCAGCCGCTTCTTCTCCGAGATGTTGCGCACCAATCCAGGCACCTGCCTCCGAAGTGCCACACCAGACACCTCTGTGAAGTGAGGCCTTCCGTCTTCAAGGCGCTCAGGATCTGGCGCAACATGGCGCAACGACAACCAGGGCAACAACCCGCCCAGAATGACCCAAGTTTAAGGACACTGAACAGGTACCAACACCCCCCTGCCAAAAGTTGAAAGCCGCACGTTAGTGGCTACTAATTGTTCAGCCCCTTATAAACGTTGTTTTGGAAATGGCAACAGCAACCGCCGAGTCACAGCCCTGGCCACTTCGCCCCGCCCCTTCGCCTGCGGGCGGCACAGCGGCGGCCTCTCCTGGCACAGAAGACACAGCAGATGTCGATGACGACCGAGGACTTTGATAAACCCCGGTTGATCAGCTTTTGGACCCCACCCAATAAAGGAATAAGCAAAAAATGTGTTTGGTTTTCTGAGAAGCCTTCAGGGGGTTCACCTGTTTAGTGGTTGGAATCTAACCATCAGGGGGGATTCCCCCCCATATGTTCATCAACCGGGACAAGGAAAATCCTGGGTCAGCAGGTGGAAATGTCGATGTCTCTCCACCAAGCACCAAGGGTAGAAAATCACCTCCTTTAACAAGGAAACAATCGGGAACGGAAATCAGATTTCTACCCTTGAGCTTAAGTGGATGTGTAAGCAACCCCGAAGCAGTTTTGAGGACATTCTCTCTTGGCTCTCATTTAACTGCCAAGCAGAAAGCGGCAAAGCCTCAGTAAGACGGCTTTGGGGACAGTGCCCCAAATGTTGGCCTTCTTTCTGGCAGATGGGTGAATGTTGGCGCCTGTCCATGTTTTCACAAAATAGCTGGGTCAAGGATAGGTGCCAGAATTTTCCAAGGCCTCTTTTATGTGTTGAACGTACCAAGGCGGACAGAAATGGGAGGGTTCGATTGCCTTTCTCGCTGCAAACTTGGCTGGCGCAGAACCGGCCTGGGATCTACAAACTGCATCAAGGAGGCAAGTACCCCGCGTTCTGCGCACGATCCTCTTGCAGCTCCGCTCAGCACACAGCCGTTGCCGCTAGCAGACTGGACCCCAAAATGGTTCCACAGATCAATCAACCGAGCAGGTGTGTGGGGGCATTCCGGTACGGCGGAGCTTCACCGTTGTCTCAGATCTCTGAAAGTGTCTACAACTGGTATCATTCTGGCTGCTTGAGATTTGCAAATTTCTCTGGTGAAAGATCTCCTTTGCAAGACGCACTCTGGCAGATGGTAGACAGCCAGCTCACACTGAGATCAGCAGGCTGCAGCGGGACAGGCGCAAGCCAATGCAGGCAGTGCCTTGCGTTGGCAAACAGCCAGGCGCTACGAAGAGAAGTCGCCACGGAAAAACTCTTTTGTATTCTGGAGGTAAGCAGGCAGACCGGCCAAGCTGGAGTTGAAGCTGCGCAGCTCTTTGCGGCCCCAGCGCCTTGACATGCGTCAAAGGTCCTCAAGGCACTGTGGCACGTGTGGCATGTTGTAGCGCGTGATAGCGCGTATTTGTGACATTTTGTGACCAACCACTAAGGAATACCAACAAATCCAAGAGATACACCAAGGCATGTGTCAGCAAGTGTCAGCGACACATATCAACAATCTCTTGGAAAGTCAATACGCGGACATGAATGGATTTCAAGGGACCCAGTATGACCCAATTGATCCCAATTGCACACACGATTCACATGCACTCGCGCTCTAGTTGCGCTGGCATTTGCAGATATTTGCAGGCATATGATGGCATATGCAAATAATTGCAAATGTATGGAGGCATGTGCTGCGCAATGTTGCGCACATGCGCAGACATTGCCCTCGATATCCCCTCAAGAAAAAAACATAGTAGAAATGCTTTTCTTCGAACATCCTCGAACGATCCCAGCCCAAGTCATCAACTTTGGGACGGCGGGCTCAATATGGCCCAATCAGCTTTGCCATGGCTTGAGCATGCTTGAGC